CGTTCAATCATCTCTTTTTTAGCTACTGGTAAATAACAAAATAATATTATAAATTCTAGATTTATTTTGAACCAAAGTAGAAACAATAATAAAATAAAAAATATTTTGGAGAAGAGTACTTTTGAAATATCTATGAAAACCCTGTCCTGATACCTGTCTGGTTTCTCAACAACATGACGTGATCCAGTCATGTGAATTAACCTCCATCTTTCTGTGGTTAATTCTCTGAGACTCTGTTACAAATTATGTCAAAAGTAGAGACTTCAAACTATACAYCAGTTTTTAAAGACTGTTCCACTTCAAGAATAATAGTCATAATTTATCCTTACCTGAGGAAAGTCTGCATTATGATCCCTGCTGCTGTAGGCTATCTGGTCTGTCCCATCCCTGATTATGTGGAAAGCAGCCAGCACAACTTCTGCACAGAAATGAAAGACAATTGGGTTTATCTTGGCAAGGGATGTAACAGGTAACAACAACTAATCATGTTAACTAGCTAAATATTATATAATGTGTAACTCATCATTTAGCTAACATCATCTGCCTTCAACAGCATGACTCAACTTACATGGTTTGTTTGGTAAAAACTGTGCCAAGTTTTAGTTGCTCTTTACACCAGGAGGCTCTGCTCAGCAGGTGGTTCAGCAGGACGTCTCCTATTTGTCATCTGCAGACGTTAGCTTGCACACGCTTATGGTGCGTTCAAAGACGGCTCAGAAAAACGCATTACCATATGTTAATAATGGATAAAACAGCTGTTACGGCAGAGAAAAGTGTGGGGACAGAGAGCGCAGATGCAGGAAGTGCGGGGACACATGTCCACGCATATCCCGCATCCGTTGTGTCCGTGCCTTCATTGCCCAGGGCCCTTTGGAGACCATGGGCCCCTGGACAATTGCCCATATGGTTAATCCGGCCTTGCATGCATCAAGCACAATATTGTAGCATGACACCTCACAGCTACAGAGAGAGCTGTAGCTCATGTTGTAGTTTAAGACTTCACCACCAGGTGGCRGTTTTGAAGAACCTTTATTGGATTCTTCTTCATAAACAAAACAGACAGAGTGAAACTCACAGGTCTTATTACTAACTAAGCCTACCACTCTCATTTATAGTTACTTCTGCTGAACTGTTTAACACAAGTTAACAAATAATAAACACTCAAAATAGAGTAACACAACAGACTAATTGCTGAAACAACAACAATCATGAATTCTACCCACAATCCTCCACTGCAGTCAC